ACATTGTTATTGTTAAATAAATATCGTCAAATAATCGAGATCTCAATTTCAGTGAAAATAATCGTGATTATCATTTTTGCCATAATCGAGCAGCCCTATGTCTAATACCCAGAGAGAAACATAAATATAGTGATTCTTTTGCTCTTTAAAGCTTAAAATAGTGCCGATATTATTGACAACTACACCGTACAATAAATATGACAATTGACGATTAAACTGTTCCCAAAAATTTCTGTCCCCTGTCAGACACTTTGTTTCACGTTTGGGTAAAAACACAAAAACGTTGCGTTGGTGCTTCCAGCACGAGATCCACAGCAGCTACATTACCACTGTAGTTAATGCGAGCCCAATTTAACTTAACATAACTACAAGCTGAGATTTTTTAATGATGTTTATCCTGATAAAGGTTGGAATAATATATGTTAATGTAAAATTGTCTTTACACTTAGCTGTCACAATAAGAACGAATAGTTACAATGAAACTGTGATTGTAACTCATTTGTTTTGCTGTGATAACGAATCAAACATAAACTGAACTAACAGTTGTACTTTTCACATCTTCGTTGAACACTGAGTAATCACTCTGTGTGGGCTGGATGGAGCAGATGAACTCTTAAACCAAGTAACTTCGAATGAAGCTGCTTATGAGAGTCAAACAAAGATTGTTGTGCCATTGTTTGACTTTCTAAGAAATTTCCCAAATCTGGGAACAAATAAAGTGCATATTATCTTAAAATAGTAACAGTTTGTTGGAAACAGCGCTGACATTATTATAAGTAATGCATCTTTGGCTCCATGATATGCTTTTTAAGAAATAAATCATATTTCTGTGTATCAGCTACATAAACCCACGTCATTAGACCAATAACACACTTATTGCAAAACGTTTTTTCCTTAAAAAGGCGACGCTGTGAAACAAAACAAGACTGGATCTGAATGAAAATATCTTAGAAGTATTATGCTACAGATTACGTCTGCCTTTGTCCTCTACGACGCAGCGGCGCTTTTACTCGACACCCTGCTTTGTTGAAAACAAGGAAGTAATAATCATGTTCGAGTGGATACCTGAGACTGTTTTCTGGCTCTGATCTGAGGAAATGTGACACACCAACAATGAGATGGAGCCGTAACTTCAAATGTTGACAGTAAAACCTGCTCTACAAGGAAATGCAGCTTTATTTAAACAATGCAGCGCACCGAACGCTACAGCAGACTGGATTACTGGCTGCTTTCTGCAGCTGCCTTCCTTGTCTCAGGTTCCACCGGAGATATTTGAAAATCAGAGCAGAATTCAAAGAACAACAGGAGTATGAGTTGTGCCTCAAAAATGCCTCAAAAATAAAAACACTAGGCGTGCTCATCCAAAAAGTAGAATATTAGTGACACCTAGTGTTTTTTGTTTTCTGACTTGTGTGACGCTCGTGATCAGCACCTTGTAGCTGGCTCGCTGTGGTGATAAATCACAGCAGCAGGAAACAAGTTACATGACTATAAAAATATGAAAAGAATTTCGCGCTTTGCAATCTAAACGTTCTCTTCATACTGCTGTTAGTTTCCGGTGAAAACCAAGCTGGGCACGAACAGTAGCATCAGAACATTCAC